AGCAGGGAGCCCGATGCGGGGCTCGATCCCAGGACCCTGGGACCATGACCTGAGCCGAAGGCAGACGCTTAACGACTGAGCCACCCAGGCGCCACCGAGAATTTTTTTTTTTAAAGATTTTATTTTTATATAATCTCTACACTCAACGTGGGGCTCAAACTCACAACCCTGAGATCAAGAGTTGCATGCTCCACTGACTGAGTCAGCCAGGCGCCCCCAGAGAGAATTCTTTAATAAACTCCAACTTGCTTCCCTCCATGTGAGGGGGTCCTCACCCTCAAGGGGGTGGTTTGGCTCTGCCAAGGTCCCTTCTGTCCTGTTCTCTGCTCACATGGGGCTACTACTGTAAAAAAAAAAAAGCCTCGCTGTGTCCTGTCCCCATAAAATGAGCACATAGTGTGATAGGGAAAAAATGCCCTCTTGAAGCCACTGGGCACAGAGTTGGGTCTCCACGTATGCAGCTTTATTTCTCAGCACGAATGCCAATTTCCCTTTCAAATGCAAAACCGCTCAGCGTCCCAAGGAGTTTGGTCTCTGTCTGAAGGTCAGAGCCGGGTCCCCTGTTCCGTTTTGCCCCGCTGGCCTTTCTTGTCTGCTTCCTGCCTCCCGTCCAGCCAGCCAACTTGTCAGCGTTCCTCAGCAGCTTGCCTGCTCGAAGCTTTTTGTCCCTGAACATGCTGTTCCCTCGTGGGAAACACCTTTCCTTCCCCTGCTTTGCAAGGCAAACTCCTGCCAGTCCTTTTCACCAGGTTCAGCTCTCCTCCCCCAGAGTTTTCTCGGACTCTGCTGGGCAACATCAATCACCTCTCCTTCTGCTCTCTCTCTCTCTCTCAGGGGCATGCGATTATTTTGCATTTATCCTAACTGCCATTTCTCTCATTCTTTTCCTGTTTCTCTGGTTCTTCCCTAGTCTCAGTAGTTTACCCTAGAGAAACCAAGGTGGGGAGAGGGCTTGTGTCCTTTTTAGGGTACCAGAGCGTGGGAATCCAGATTGTTCCCTGGAACCCACAGCTTGGGCGGGGCCCTGTTCGTGGGAATGCTCAAGGTCAGACCTGAGGACTCCCCGCAAAGCTGGTGTCCCAGCAGGAACCATACCCTGCCTCTAAGTACCGAGGCTCCCACTGCTCTGTGGGTGACCGAATCCCAGTGAATCCTGCCGATGCACCTGGACAAGGCAAGGCCAGAGGCTTACGTCTCTATGCCTGCGCAGAGTGAGGCCTCCTTGGCCAAGAATCCACCTGAACCCCTTTGGCCATCAGAAGGCTGCGATCCTGGCTCTGAGCCCCCATAGGGGACTCTGAGGTTCTGCTGGAAGGATTCTTTGCTCTTTAATTAGGGCTAAATATATATAGTCTCCCCACCCACCCAGATTCAGATTCAGGCCAGGACACAGAACATCTGGCATTCTCTTTGGCTTCCAGAGTCGAACACTCTCCTGCTCTGAATCCCACCTTTCCAGACAGAAGCTAGACCTTCACTTTCTCAGCCTCTTGGCAGCTGGGGCACCGCCACGACCTGGGCCCTGCTCCCTTGTTGGCAACTAAGAACCCCGACGGACACAGGCGTTGTCCACCGGATGCAATACTTCATTCTGGGGAGGCTCCTAGAATATGGAGATGAGTCACAGCAGGTAAATATAATAGGGCACCCCGGAAAAGACTACAATGAGGGGAGGTGTCCAGGGTTCTGGGAGCATCAGTGGTGGAGACTTACAGGGAGGGGTCCCATCTTACTCATGTATTAATTGCCCTGTCTTTCTGGCAGTGAGATGTCCTGTAAAGTCAACTGGATTTAATATCTGAAGACCTGAGTTTAAGTCTGTTGTGGCATGTTTTAGTTGGTATCTTGGACAAATTGCCACATCCACAGAGCCTCTGTTTTCTTATCCTCACCTTGAAGGATGTGGGAAGTTAAAACCAGGCAATGTGTGTAAAAGCTCTGGAAGTGGTCCAGCGCTATATAAATCTTCACTTATTTTTTTAATTGTCACTTCGTCCTTTTCAAGTTCTTCTTTCTTGGGGGAGGGGAGGGGCAGAGAGGGACTCTTTAAGCTGGCTCCACGTTCAGCATGGAGCCTGTCGCTGGGCTCGATCTCAGAACCCTGAGATCATGACCTGAGCCGAAGGCAGACGCTTAACGACTGAGCCGCCCAGATGCCCCTAAATAAGTAAATCTTAAAAAAGAAAAGGCCATTTGCCTACGTGTGCTTCACCTGACTTCATCAGCAGCTGCTGTTTCGCTGCATTAGCACACACACGACTACAGCAGGGACTTGTCTCCCCGCCTACCTCCCAAGGGCAGGGATTTGCCCTGCACTTGGCACAAAACTGTAATTACAGGAAGAAGTAGGATTTGAGAGAGGACTCCTGTTCCTTCACGAATGGGATTATTCATTCAGGTACAGGTATTTACTGTTGGCCCTCACATGCTAGATAGTGTTCTGGGTACTGTGGAGAACCAAAAGCCCTGCCTTCAGGGAGCTGGCATTTCCAAGTGGGCGGGAGCAGACAAATACGATAAAAAATAGGTCAGCTACTCCGTGTGTTAGAAGGTGCTCCCAGGCAGGTTGGAGGAACAGCAAGGGGGCCAGAGTGGCTGGAGTAGAGAGAGGGGGAGGGCCGCAGGGGCGGGGTACCACATTATGGGCCACTGTAAGGACTTTGGCTTTTGTACCAGGGGTTGGGAGGTCAGGAGCCACAGCGAGGTGAGGGTATTAGTAAGAGTATTCAGGATTCAGTCCAAGCAGAGGGTGCAAGTAGGCGCCCTGAGGCCTATTTAAAAGGCACAGGAAGAAAGCAGCCGGCTTACATAGGAAGTAAGGGAGGGACCCCGGCCGTGGAGGAGGCTGGGGGGTGTGCCAAGGGTGGAGACTGCATTGGAAAGCTGCCTCGGAAGCTGTCACTCCACATGGGGTGCCGGGCAGTAGGGCTGTTCAGCTCAGAGGCAGGACCGTTGGAGAGAGACCGTCTCCCTTCCACCACCTGTGAGCTCTTCCTAAAGATTACATGTGGCCAGGAATGCAAAGCTCAACACTGACTGTTTGCAAGAATGACCCGGAAACTGGGAAGCTGTGTAAGGCGTGCTCGCCCCGCCCCACCGCCCTCACTGTGTTGTCTCGCGTTGCTCTGTATCGGAAGAGCTCACCTTGCCGCCGCCTGCCTTCTTGACAGGTGCCGGTACGTAAGAGAGAGAGATCGGCTTGGTAACGAGTATCCCAAGCTCCACTACCCTGAATTGTATGTCCTGAAGGGCGGGTACAAGGAGTTCTTCCTGAAATGCCAGGTAAGGGGAAGTCTCTGGAGGGCACGGTGCCCCCCTCACGCAGCTCGGACGGTCCGATCTGGCTGGTGGTCATGGCTGTGTCTCGTCCTGGCTCTGGGGTTCTGCCCTGCACAAAGAAGGGCCCTGGAACGTGCTGCGCTTTTGGTGCTGCTCCCCACCTTGCAAGCCCAGATGGGGGGAGCCGGCTTCCACGCGTGAGCCAGGGGCCCCTCATCTCGTCCTCTCCTGTCTGCAGTCTCACTGTGAGCCCCCCAGCTACCGGCCCATGCACCACGAGGACTTCAAAGAAGACCTGAAGAAGTTCCGCACCAAGAGCCGGACCTGGGCAGGGGAAAAGAGCAAAAGGGAGATGTACAGTCGCCTGAAGAAGCTGTGAGGGCAGCCGTGCCGGACAGCAGCAGCCTGGCACTCCCTCTGTGCCTCCCCCCTTCCCTCTTTGCTGCAGAGAAACTTGAGCGAAGGGGCCAGCCGCGTGCACGACGTGCGGAGAGAGGATCCGGAGCTGGTGGGCCTTCCCCTGGCTCCGCGCTCCCTGGGTTGGAGCGTCCCGCCGGCCGCACCTCCTCCGTCCCTGTAAGACGTTCTCCTTCTGCCTCGGGACTGGCCGCCAAGGCTGTCACTGCTTTCACTGGCCGCAGCACCGGTCCAAGCACAGAGTCAAGAAGTTCTGACTTCTCACCGCCCCCGCCGTCGGACAGACCACCTGGGGCCTTTCTGGGCACTGTCCTCTCCTGAGGCGGGGGGTAGGAGAGTGGGAGAGAAGTAACGGAAGCAGAAATGCTGTGGTCAGATGCCAAAGACAGCCTGGGAAGGGATGGTCCTGGTGGGATAGCCCGTATCTTTAATTTATTCAACTTCATCAATCACTTTATTATTTTTTTTTTTTAACTCCTGGAGACTTTTATTTAACTGCTTCTTTAAGTCATAATACTGCCATTCTGGGTAGGGTTTTATCATCCCAGGGACTACCTCTGCTTAAAAAAAAAAAAAAAAAAAGATGGGGGAGAAGAGGCAAACTTGTGTTGAGGGACAGAGCTAGGAGCTCTGTCACCCCCAGGAGGCACTGTGGTACTGGGCCCGCTGCTATTTAAAGCCAAGGACTGAGGTACTGGTAGGAGCAGGCACTGGACTCAGACTTGGCTACAGGACATAAGCTAAACCTCCCAGACCTACCTCGAAGGCCACTGAGATCGGGTTGGGGGCGGGGGGCTGACCCTGCTCTTCCTCACCCCGGTTCCCTCTGACGCTGGCTGGTATAGGAGTCCCAGTCAGGAAAGCACTTCAGGCAGCTTCCATTGGGCCGCGCCCAGGTCATTGTTGGAATGTGGTAGCGTAGGTGTCCTAGAGTAGGGGGGTCAGGGCGGGGGGGGGGCTCTTCGGGATGGGGGAGGGGAGTGTACACTGAGTGTCTTCGATTACTCTGATACTCTTGAATAGCTTTTAATTTTCTAAAAATAGTCACTGTCCGAGTCAGGGAGTATCAAATCAGTGTTCGCTGGGCCACCCAAGGGTGAAGAGGGGCTGGAAGCCCTGGGCATTAGGAGAGGGCTGTGGGTGCTGACATACAGATGACGGTACCGAATGTGTTTCCCAGGAGGCAGCGTGGTGGATTTTGAAGGTAAAACTTTGAGTTTATCATGTTTGAATTTGAGGGACAGGGAGTGATGGACCATCACTAGTTGCCCCCTCATCTAACCCCGTGGAAATGGGGGTCTCAAAGGAACAGCTCCTATCCAAGGAGCTGGGGCTGACTTGGTTGATTCTGGACAGGCCTCTTTGGTTCCTGCTCATCCCCATCCATAGGCACCAGCCTCCGCACCAGCTTTGCTCCACTGGGGTGTAGCCAACTTTTTCTTAAACACAAGAGCCAGTCCCCCTCTTACTTCCTTTCCTCCTCCCAAGGTAGGGAAGGAAGCAGTGGTACCGGAGATGGTTTGTTGCTGTTGTTATGGGTTCCAGTTGCATTTGGCTATAAAACAATCTTGTTAGAAAAAATCAGTGGGGAGGAGGGGAACAGGAAGAGAGAGGAAGGCCTCTTCCCCCTCTCACCACACATTGAGACACATCTCAGTTGGTCTCTAATCTTGTTTGTAGGGATTCTGTTGGTTGGATGCCTGGAAAGGGAGGTGGGATGGCCTTCAGATGGTACCAGCTTAGCTCACATTACTGACCAGCTGTTGCAGGCTCTGAAAATAAAAACAATCCTGAACCCATGCTCTCTGCCTAGTTCTTGATGGATTTGAGAGAATTGTGTTTCCCTTTAAAATTCTGGGACCATACTTGACTAAAACCAGAGGGGGGGCCAAATTTCCTCAAAAGGCCAAAGGGCTCCCGTGTAGCAGGCCTTCAGGGATGGCCAGAATGACCTCTAGTTACTACCCTGACTCCAAAAACTTGTCATTCAGATTGACTGGCAAGATGAAATAGGGACATCAAAAGCTTACCCAAACCAGGCTCCTGGATGGCTCAGTCGGTTAGGTGTCTGCCTTAGGCTCAGGTCATGATTCCGGGGTCCTGGGATCGAGCCCCACGTTGGGCTCCTTGCTCAGCGGGGAGTCCGCTTCTCTCTCTCTCTTTCAAATAAGTAAAAGCTTCAACAACATCTACTTAGAGCCAGTCTTCTCTTCCTCACTCTCCCTGACTTTGTTCTTTAAATTTACTCTCAGCAGGTAACACTTCTTTGGATTATTGCCAAAGCCAGCTGGCCTTTGGCTTAGCCTATTGTTGCCACAATCAACCTGCTAAATGTCTAATTAGGTCAGCCCATTCTTACTGGAGAGTTTAATGGCTCCTTGTTGCCTATAAAATTAAACTTGAACTCTAGCCCATGTGCAAAGATACAACCCCAGCCTTACCCTATGTTCGTCTTATGCTCCAGTAACAGGCAGAGTTCTATTTCTAGAATGTACCCTGCCCTCTGATCCTTGCTTGGAAGTTTGGTTGAGAGCTGAGAATCTTGGGTAAGACAACTCAAAAAAAATTGGTTGTATGGGGCAACTGTGTTGTATGCAAGCCATCATCCACTGGTTCCAATAAAA